AACATACGCAACCCATAACCTTAATCCGATCCAACAATATGCTCACAGAGTCTTCAGCATGACTGGACCGCCTCCCCAGGCCTTCAGCCAATCTGGACCACTCTCAGAACCTTCAGCCAATCTGACTGGACCGTCCTCCAGCCTTCGGTCTGACTGGTACGCCTACCGGCTTACAGTCTATCCGGACCGCTCAACTAGCATTCATCACTCCGAACCATCCCTTCGGGAAATCCTCCCGCACATACCGTTCTAGCCCTCTAGGGGTTCCGAACTCTATCTCCATCATACATGCTCGAACCCGTCCTGCTCCCAGGCCTTCCTCAATCAACTGCTCTAGGTCTGTATTCCGCCCGCACGCCTGTTACTCACTCATACGAGCCTGCTCTCGACTAATAGAAATACCGCCGAATTTCCCAAGCAGCTAAACAACCTCTCAGGCCCAACGATCATCCGGAGAATTTCCAATTCTCCCCCACTTAAGACACTGACAGTTAGTCACCGGTCGCCATCACCGATCTCCCCAAGCAACCTTGCAGGAATCGACACATGCACTCAAAAATGTTTTTCACCAGCACCAACAACTTTCATACAATCATGTTCCCATGCTGCACAACCTGCTCGAAAGGAACCCAATCTTCAACTATCAATTCCTCAGACTACAGAATCTAACTGGCCTTCAAACCAACGCCGCATCCGCCACCAATCCTCACAAAGATAATCAACGATAGCTCGAAGTACAAATCCATAACCATAACGATCCTTCAGGGAACAAAAGATACTAAAACGAAATCTCGATCACAACTCGCCAAACCCTCAAGGAACAACGGATACCACACGAAAACCCGAAACGCAATTCAACGAAACCAACAGATAACAATACTCCACAACAATCATAAATAATCAAACATCAGAAAGAAACATACCCGCAGCAGCAAGCTGAAAAACACGACCCTAAGCCCTTGGGGGCTCAGCTCCACCCTGATCTCCACCTGTGATCCTCAACGTAGCCGGTGCTGGAGCCTGCACCGGTCCTGTAGCAAGCCGTGGACAGTTGACCTTCAAATGTCCAACCTGATGACAATGATAGCATATCCTCAAATCCCGAACCGGCACTGACTGCCGACAATCCCTCGCATAGTGTCCCTCCTTTCCGCACTTGCGGCATGCTCCACCGGACCGACAAACCCCGGCGTGACCCCTTCCACACTTTCCACAGACGTGGCTACCCTGATCTCCCATCCTGGAATCAACGGTCTTAGACCGTTTCGTCGCCGGCTGCGACTGAACCGGAGCTTGCCTCAGCTCACGCATTGTAACTCAATCTCTAACTCACGCCGCCTGGCGGCCTCCTGCAACTCCAGCAAAGTCTCGCACCTCTGCAAGACACAAACTGTCTGATGTCTCTCTTTAGCATACTCAGATATCGGGACATCTGAGCCTGCTCCGAAGCGAACTCAGGGCAAAACATCGCCCTCTCAGTAAACATCCTGGTGATTTCCGTCACCGATTCCGAATCCTGTTTCAGCTCCAAGAACTCCTGAGCCAACCTCTCCCTCTCGACCTGCGGAACATAACGAGTGCTGAACATCTCTCTGAACCGATCCCATGAAATCGCAGCCCTCTGCGCATCCGAGTACGACCCCGTGGTCAATCTCCACCAATCCTTTGCTCCGAGCCTCAACAGGTTCAAAGCACACCTCACCCTCTGATCAGCAGGGCATGAACACGTGAAGAAACATCCCTCCACATCTGATAACCATCTCATAGCAACGATCGGATCCTGAACTCCATCAAAAGTGGGAGGCTTCGTATTATCGAAGTCCCGATACTGAAAACCTCTACTGGCTCCTCCCCCTGCCGCTGCTACTGCTGCGGTAGCCGCCGCGGCAGCCGTCTCCGTGAGAGCCGCATAGAGCTCATCAAAATACTCCACCATGGCGGTCTTGATCGACCCAAACAACTCTGGCAGCTCAACCCGAAACAATGCAGCAACCTCATCATGCAAGATCTCACGAATCCTCGCATCCAACTCATGCGTACTCATCTGGCTGACAACCTCGGGTTGTACAGACCCACCCAAAACTCCCTCTCCGTTCTCCTGATCCTGACCCGGATCCACTCCCAGCGTGCCCTGAAATCTCCATACTGAAAATAAAACACCAAATCTCAGACATATTCCACTATCCCGGGAACAGGCTCTCATCCCAACCCTAGAGGTCATGGTTCCCCTGATACGCGTATGAGTCCGTGCTTTCAGTAGTACGGGCCTATACTACCTTCCACACCAACCCATATTTGTATGAAGTACTCCCACAACACCCTAGCGACACACATAACAACGCTCTATCCTCACAACTAGAGGAACACTAGAAATCTCTCACAAGGAACCCTAGGCTAGCAGGCATCATAAATCAGGCAACTCATCAATAAATCCTGAAGATCCCTAGCCTAACTCTAGCATGTTGTTCTATCAAAGCTCAATAAAACAATTGTCATGTATGGTATTTTGGGGTTACTTACTGGCTCCGGCTGATCGTACCTCCGCGTCCTCCTTTACTTATTTTGAAAACCATTTTAAATTCTCTTTTTGAAAGCTCTCCTCGATTTGAGACTGGAGTCACACAAGTGTTCCTCCAATTCACTCAAACCAAGGCTCTGATACCAACTTGTAACATCCGAAAAATACAACCAATTTAAATTTTCAAAACAACCTGATTTTCATTAAAATGTTTACAAAAAGGTTTTCAATACAAGTCATTGAGTATTCCCAGAATCACATTGCTACAAAATCATGAGGAGCGGTACGATCGCGCCTTCGCCTTGCCACAGTCTCCTGAAGAACCTGAAAAACATTAAACCACAACTGTAAGCCCGAAAGCTTAGTGAGATACCCCCAAAATACCAACCACGTATACGCCCTTCCAGGCTACGACCTTCCGGTCCAAAACATATAAAACATACATAACATAACAGAACATAGAACAACCATGCATATCGGGTCTACCGTGTGACTGGTCCGCCGTATCGGGCCTTCAGTCCAACGGATCCATCCTCCGGGTCTAGTCATGTCCTTCGAGTCTACAGTGGGGTTGGTCCGCCCGCATCGGGCCTTCAACCCACCTGGTCCACTCTCTGAGTCTACAGTGTGACTGGTCCGCCCGCATCGGGCCTTCAGTCGGCCTGGTCCACTCTCCGAGCCTCGGCACGTCTGGTCCGCCCTCGTGGGGCCTACAGCCTATCCGGACCGCTCGCTGGGCCTTCGGAACAACCGGTCCGCCCTGGGTATCTTGGCCTACAGCACAAAGCAGGACCCGCCTCAACCCATCTCCAGTCCAAACAACCATGTGCACAAAACATACATTCATATAACAGTCATAGTCAACAAACCGAACAAGCAGATCACATAGCATATCATTACCCTAACCGGGTTACCGACCTAACCGGTCACTAGCATAGCATCACTCTGTATATCGGGAAAACTGACCTTAACAAGGCCTCCTAGCATGTACCATCCTAGCTACCAGGATGCAGACACATCAAACAATAACATAATAACCATAACCGAATCTCAATACAATAAAGGGCCGGCCTTGGTGCCTTAGACCCTGTTGATATAGTGAGGATAACTCACCTCGAAACTGCCGGCTGAAAAGATAAGATCCCGCTGCTCCGAACTCTGGCACGAACTCCTTCACTAAACATCAAAACATACAACTCAATAAATACCCTTAATTACCAAAATACCCCTGGAAGACAACTGGTCAACCTTGGACGAGTCAAAGTCAACCCTGACTGACCCTACTCGCCGAGTCATCCCGATGACTCGCCGAGTCCTTATGCTCAGAACTTCCCTCAATTAGCGACCCAACTCGCCGAGTCACCCAAGACTCGTCGAGTCCAACAACTCTGAGTCCACTCGCACCCAACTCACCGAGTCATCCCTTGACTCACCGATTCATCGACTCAACCAGAAATATTGGGACTTCCTCGACAAGACTCGCCGAGTCCAAATGGACTCGTCGAGTCCAAGGCCATCTTCAACCTACTCGCCGAGTTGTTCTTCCAACTCGTCGAGTCCCAGGCCATCTTCAAGCAACTCGTCGAGTCCACCCATGTGACTCGTCGAGTACCACCTATCTGAATCCATACAGAAGCATCTCAGGCCATGCAATTGATCCAAAACATAGATCCAACCTCCTACAATCCATCCATCACGTAAAGTGGCAAACTTTACGTGAATCTAACGAGATTAAGCCATATTCACCTTAAAACCAAGGTTTGGGACATGGTGGCTTCACTAAGCACTCAAACACAGGAACTTTAATGCACTCTAGGCCTTCAATATTCCAGATCTGAGGTAGCAACCTCAGATCTATCCTCCAAACTCCAAAACATTCCAAGACATACTCCCCACAAACCCCAAAATGATGAAACTAGGAATGCACAGCCTAAGGACGAAGATATTACCTCCAAAAGATGCCTCAATAGCAGCCAAACTCGAATCCAAGCAAAGCCCTTTGATCCAAGCCACTTCTCCTTCAAGATCTCTTCAAACAACACCTCTCCAAGCTCTAATTTGCTCCACAAATGATCTCTCCACGTATATAGGGTTTCTGGAACTCAAGGGGGGAATAAGGGAGGCTGTGGAGGGGTATAATGCTCTTTATATAGGGCTCAACCCCGGAAATTAGGGTTTTCTCCATACAGCACCTACTCGCCGAGTCCATCTAGGGACTCGCCGAGTAGGCCACTTGACACGCGACCATGACCGCGACCTGACTCGCCGAGTCATCCATGGACTCGCCGAGTCATCCTCTAAAACTTACACTTTCAGCCCTTCAACTCTACTCTTGCGATTCCGGGATGTTACAACTAGGCACTAAGTTTTTACCCGAAGATAATGAGGGGGTACACCACTAACATTTAGCGAGTTCAAATATTTCATCGGGTATAAGTTATTTTTGTCATCTTCTGATTCATTAAAAACCGTAGTAAAGTTTTTACTCCCCAGAAAATCGTTCGATCAGCTTATTATTAATCTCATCAACACTTTCCTTTTTAGTTGACAATATCACCCTCGAAATGATAAATTTTGAATTGGTGTCGTTGGATTGCAAAGAATGAAATATTTCATCAATCAGAGCGTCCACTAAATTAGTTTTATCGGTGTATGGAATGGATATGTTATTAGGTATACGAATAAAGGACTCGTCCAATGTTTCCTCCTTTCCATCACCGACTTGTAATGATAAATCAAAAAACCATTGGTCATTTACCGCTCTCATGTTGATATTTAATCGAAGCCTTTTAGCTGAATCCCATAGAGGTGACATTCGTAAGCTAGAGTCCATAGTTTGTGCTCGAGTTCCACGTTTCATGACCGACAATACTTGTCTAAAGTCACCTACCATAACCATTATCTTTCCACCAAAAGGGAGCTTCTCATTTGTGATGTCTTGCATTGTCTGAGAAACTGCTTTTACCGCCTGCCTCTTAGCCTTTTTTGCTTCATCCTATATGATTACCTTTGCCTCGCGAAGTAGCTGAGCCTTGCCGCTTTGTTTAGTGATCTTGCACATTGATTTATTAACAATATTAAGGGGAATTCCAAATCTTGAATGAGTTGTTCTCCCTCCTGGCATGTTGTTAGCCGTAACACCTGACGTAGAAGTTGCAAGTGCAATAAGACCACAGGCACAAATATTGGCCAACAAAGCTTTGTACAAAAATGTCTTTCCATTTCCACCGGGACCATCTATGGAGAACACGCCCTAAATATTTTCATTCACATGCCTCATTATCTAATCATATGCAAACTTCTGGTCTGGATTGAGAGAGTCTCGTGCATGTAAGTTGTAACACCGTAAATTTCAAAACAAATTTTTGAAATTTTTTATAAAACATAATTCCATCAATATTCATCAAACAACCATATTAATTATCAAAATAGGTCAATACAAAATCCCAAGATCACAATGTAAAAACTCCGAGTGTGTGTGTGTACGGATCAAGCCGGCGCCTTCCCGCGATCTTCACTAGTACCTGAAACAATAACATCAAACACTGTAAGCACAAGGCTTAGTGAGTTCCCCAAAATACCACATATAACACATATTAGCCACTCGAGGCTATAACTCTGTGGGTCCGTGCACCCAAACTCTGTGAACCCTCAGGTTCTATCTCTGATAAACATGCACTACATAAATCACATAGAAATAATGCAGTACAACACATAACATGCATAGCATACAATACTCTATCACATAACTCAGGTTACCTACTCAAGGTAATATAGTATAGTGAGAAGACTCACCTCGCGTATCTCGGTATCTCACGAATCCTGGAAATCCCTCGTGCTCGATCCTCCGAGCTCTAATCCTCCTATAACATTATATGCTTCTAATTAACACTTTATATCTCTAAGGTTGACTATCTATAAGAGTCAACACAGGTCAACTCTGGTCAACGGTCAACGGTCAACGGTCAACTCTGACCGGACTCGGCGAGTACCAAGGCGACTCGGCGAGTCTAGACGTTTTTATCAACCCTCTGAAATCCTCTTACTACACGTCGAGTATCCCCCCTTTACTCGACGAGTTTCACCTGAATGAATCGCGGGCCACCCCGACTCAACTCGCCGAGTCTCAAGGACAACTCGGCGAGTCCAGGTTTGACTCAGTCCACTCGTCATCCCTCTCCAACTCACCCTGACTCATTGAGTCTACCCATGACTCGATTGGACCACTCGCTGAGCAGTCCCAAGGCAATCTTCAAGCTACTCGCCGAGTCGGATGAACAGACTCGGCGAGTCCATGCCATGCAACCACTCCAACTCGCTTCTAAGGTCAGATCTGCTTCCAAAAACTATAGATCTGGCCTCCCTCGACTGATTCATCACGTAAAGCTCCTATCTTGGTGCTCATAACACACCCTATAACTCAATAATGGCGTTTTTGACCCAAGGCATGAGGATTCCAATCCAAAGCCTCCATTGATCCCCAAAAAGCTTGGGTAAAGGGACACTCTGGACCTCTAAGGGTCCAGATCTATGGTTCCAACCTCATAAGGGACCAAAAGAACACCAAATCTTGCCATAAAAGGGTTCAACAAACCCTAAATCTAGATAAGCAACAACAACAAGAAGGTAACTCGGATTTATTACCACAAAAGTGATGCTCTGGACTCCAAACCACAGAAGTGCTCCTTCTTGCTTTCCCTTGGCTAGCTCTTCTCCTTTCCTTGCAAAAATGGCACCTCCAAGGTCAATAATGGCCTCCTACTTAGCTCCAATGCTCACACTCGATTAGGGTTTCACTCAAGGGGCTGGTGAGCACAAATGACGGCCATTAGGCCCTTTAAATAAGTCTCAAACCCGAGAAATTAGGGTTTCATTACACAGCGCTGACTCGCCGAGTCCATATCCTGGACTCGTCGAGTCCAGGCGCAATCCTGCTTCCCTACTCGGCGAGTCTGAGCTCCAACTCGCCGAGTCCCCCATCACAAAACAACACAATACCACAAACAAGATACCTGATAAAATCCGGCTGTTACATAAGTCTTCATATTCCACATTTATAAAGTATTCTTCTTGCACCTCACGATAGCCTCTTGATTGTAAATCGATGTGTGTGCTGACATTTGGAAGGTCGTAATCACTAAGCTTTTTACTCATAGATTCTAGGAAGACTATAATATTGATGAGGACCATATTTTGCTCTCGTTCGGCACATCCATAGTGTTTCCTGTTATCTTCAGAAAGAGAACTATAGTGGTCGTCCCATAACTTGCGAACATTTCCTGGTTCACAAAAAATCAGCATCGTCACGTATAACCTTCTAAGTGCACCAGGAAATTGAAATAAGGAAGCCTCTACAAGATATTGTGATAAATTATCATCAGTCTCTATTAAACCTCTTTCAAGAGTTTCTTTTCGAAATGTAGAGTGTAATACACCATTGGATGTGTATAAATCTTCAAAGCAGGTAGGCCCGGTAATATGACATAAAAGCAGGCGTAGGTAGTATCTCCCTCCTTCAGTTGGATTAACATAAACCAGTCGACCAATCATTGGTTTATGTTTCCCGGTCCTCCAACAATGGTTGCTCCGATTCCATGTAAAATGTTTGGGAAAATCCTTATACAAATATTTTCTCGCATTGGAGTCTGCTTTATTATTCTTGAAAAATGTCATCAACATTGAATTTTTTCCTTTCTCCCTATTAACAATGTCTTCCATTCTGTCACCATCTTTGAACCTAACTAATTGTTGATTCAGAAGTTGTATTTGCAAGGCCATCACACAAGGGTGGATTTGTGAAATAGGAAAGCTAAAAACTCGCCATAATGCCTTAGGAGGGGATATACAACGTGCATCTTAAAACTTTCATATCTCATTAATAACAATATTTCCTTGGTCTTTATCAATATGTATAACTTTTTTGTCATGGCCCTTATAAATATATTTGAAGAGGTACTTCACAGACTTTATACTCGAACAAACCTCAATGTTGATATGAAAATTAAACATCATTAACAACTTTGGGTTGTATGGAGCCACCCATCTGTTATCCAATGTTGTATTTCTTACAGTCACCTCAATTCCATTATTTCTCCTTCTATATAATGGATATGAATCCTCTCCTTATGATGTCTTTTCATTGAATTGCCTAGGATATTTGAAACGACATATTTTTGGCACACTCTGCATACATGGACTTTTTCCTCGTAAGCTACCACAAGGAATGCATCATGTGACTTTTGATAAGATCATGCATTTCAGGAAACCTTATTGGGTCGGGAATTTTCGCACACACAAGTTTGTCATAATCGTCTGGATTATTCATCTTATATCTAGGTGTCATTATTAAGAGGAAATGTGCATGTGGCAATCCACGCTTTTGAAACTCTATCACATACACATATGACCCCAACACACCGATTATATGTCTTTGGAATAACTGTACCTTGAGATCCTCTAACTTAGCATGAAAAACTCTTGCAACTAGGTCCGGTCGATCTTGAGCTGACTGTCTAGGTAATAACTCATCATCAATTTCTGTCCATTTTGGATTGCATGTCATTGTAAGAAATATATCAGGCCTCCCATCATCTTGAACTAAAGTCATGGCATCCAGAAATCTTCGTTGCATGTCACATGGACCTCCAATGAAACTTGCAAGTAACACAACTCTTTGTCCAACCCTACTTGGTTGAGCCTCACCGACATTGAAGTAATCAACAACACCCTGGTATAAATCGGCTCTAATTTTGGTTTGGTTCTTTTCAACAAAAACCAAACGTGTAGTCTCAATCTTTATATAGGCATCTTCTGAAAACTGCTGGAACAATCCCCTTCCCATCAAAATCACATTATCATTCGACTGTATTTGGAACTTGTAACAATAGTACTCCTGCATACTTACACTATTTCTGTCTTTTTTTTTTTTGAAGTAAATTCTGTGATATCATAATTTATGTGAAAAATATAAATTTAATATCCATATATTTAAGGCAATATGTGTTACATGTTTTAAATATGTAAAAGAATGTTAAATGAATAGCTTCTGAACCTTCATTGTCACTATGAATTTCATCTATGGCGACCCCATATCTTGGTATTTTAGGATGCCATCCAGACTCACCATTGGGAAAAAAAATAAAGGATACGACAAAGGAGCATAACAACCAAAGTGAGGTTGAATTTCAGTACTATAGTTAGACCTCCCATAGACAATAATACTTCTTTTATATGCAGTGATGTTGTCATTTCCTACAACCCAAATACCAGCAACCTATACAAAGGTGTAGTTCAATAATGTGATTAATATGATATGTATGATAATAAATATGACACATTTAATTTTAAAATGAATAAAGATAAATGTTAATATTCACACCTAAGATGTGGTCGTCTTATTGTACACCCTTTGGTTAAGTTCCACCGATGCATTCAAAGTCACTATATTATTATCAAGCGGTCCTAGATTAGAAAGACGTTTAAATGTTCTAACGTACGGATTCAAAGCAAGAATATGTGTTAGTTTTTGAATGATTCTTCTATCAACATTCTTCTAGGAGGATCTCTATGATATTTCAGCTTCACCATCATAAAAATACAACTGTAAATACCTCGATTTTCCATCACTTGAAATTAATTGATCGATATTATGATAGAATATTATGTGCGCACAAAAAGTGTAAACTCCAGCAGTCATATTGGTTAATTCTTCATCCACCTTTACACCCATTGATGCAAAAGAAAATTTTGAGTTATACGCCCTTATATTGTACCCGAAGCTTTCTTCTAGTTGCTCTTACCTAGTGAAGAGTTGGTGAAATTCTGTGGGATTAGAGGAGTATACCAATTTTGTCTTCCCACTCATGCAACAAAAGGTAGGGAATTCATATTATAGTCACTTTGCTCCACAATAAATACAAGGGCTTTGAGCATTTAATATATGATGTTCCATATAGATGTTTTCGTATACAAAATCATATGGATCCTCATGAAAGGTGTATACTCTTATTTTTGCCATCATAGTTTGTTCCTTTCTTCGTTGATAATATTCTTTATTATAAGTACTCGTCCTCTGAACTACACTTATAACACTCACAGATGAATCTTCGTTGATATTTGTTTCGTTTGTCTCCATTGTAATGCAACTTGTGAGTGTTGTAGGTTGACTACATCCTTCACCGTTAGTTATCCTTCTCATTTTGTTTTTCTCTTTTTTTCGTGCGTAATAGTTTCTATTGTATATTTTTCGATTCTCTACAAATATGTTATTTTGATAAATAGTCATATATTATAAATATAAATATATACTCATATAAACGACATACATTTTTCTATATCTATCGGGTTTTGAAAATCATCACAGCTTTCGTTTCTCTTATCTATGATCCACATTTCACACTATAATGGAAATGTTAAGACTAAGCATATATTATATCATCAAGAATGTAACATTTTGTAATGTAGACCATGTGATTTAGTAGTTATGTATGTGTATGTTTCACACGAATAAAAGTACAACAAATAATATACTCTAAATAATACAAGAAACAATTGTACGATACCAAAAGCTTAAAGCCTTTGGTGATGTGATGGGATGAACGTTAACAATTTTAAAAGTACAAACTTTTCATATATCCGATTTGAACATTAACAACTGTATACATGCTCATTAATTCAACAAAAGATTCTCACATGAAACTAATTTGTTGTTAAAAAAATCATCAAATTTGATTTTAACATTAATTGTTTTAGTTTTTCAGAAAGCAACACAACCCTTAATAAATAACTAATTATACTAAAAACTTGTAATCCAAAAGCACAATAGAAGAAATTAATACATAGTTGAAAGAAAATTTTCATAGATATCCAAAAATTATTATATATCAATTCATAAGCCAACATAAAAAAAACAATAAAACACACATGAAAAAAAATTCACCACAATATATCTAACATTAATGTATATCAATTTTAAAAGCAACGCACTCGTAAAAGTTGTCAAAAAAAAAAAAAAAAAAAACCCATCAAATGTCTCACACGGAATTAAAAATTCTTCTAGGCATATTTATGATGTTAAATGCTTCTGGCATCTTCGGTTGGAACTGTACGTTGGTTAATTTTGTTGATATCAAAATGTTCACTGAAAATAAGATAAAAACTATTACAACGTATTGATTTAGTTATTTTAATATCACTACAATTATTATAATTATATAGAAAAAAATTACTTGAATTCAAATGAACCAATTTCATCCGAGAAACAAATATTATATACTTTCTCTTTATCGCATAGCAAGTCTTCACAATCTGATGGCGCGTTCGATCGGTTATATATAGTTTCATCTTTATTATAATCCCCCTATTTATAATTAAATATTTCCAAAGTCATCTAATTTTGTTTTAGTGTAATAATAATAATAATAATAATAATAATAATAATAATAATAATAATAATAAACACTTACGGCCCATCTTGGAGATATAAAGTGAATGAAGTTAACGCTAGTAAACCAAAGTAAAGGGAATAGTTTCGCTTGCTTTTGATGATTTTTCCAACAAAATCTATAAATAACGATAATTAAAAGAATAACTTTTTATTATTTTAAAAACTTTAGAATGCTAAAAATATATATAAGTTATTAAATTTACCGATCATCATTTTTCTCACTGCCCGATCTTCTATTAAACTTTTAATCGAGGGAACCAATGGAAAAACCGGAAACCATGATATGATAGTATCGGCCAAATGATTAAACCGTGTGTTATTGCTGATCCTAATAATCAAATCACCACGTAATAAACTGTATTCTTGATACCTCGGATACTCAACATATGTTGATTTGATTTGGAAATGATTTAAAGAGAACACATCATCCAATAGATTTCATTTATAAATAAAACGCATCATTTGTTGTGGAACAACTGCTACCAATTTATCTCTCTAATAGAAAATATAATATTTTTATAAACATAATACTTAAGATAAATTATGAAAATGAAAATAAGATATAAATAATTTTTTAAACATACATTTTGATCAATGAGAACAATGAAAAGTTTATTTGCTCTTGCATCTCTCCAAATGAAATCCATACGAACGGGTATCAAAATATACCACAAATAGAAGTTTAGTAGCAATGAAAATCCATCTACGTAAATGTAACCGTTCATAATACTAAAAAAAAATCTTTGAATTAATAAGGTCTTCTTTTAAACAATATAAAGAAGTTTAGGTGTAGATTAAGTTTGCTATTAAAAAATAGGGAAACATGACAATTTGTTAAGTAATATATGTTAAAAAAACAAAATATTAATTGATCTACAATCATTAATTGTTTAGATTTTTTTCAAAATGAAATATAAATTACAATAGTTGTATCCTCTATTACGATTTAAAATGAAACATCACATTTTAAGTTTTACGTTATAATAATTTATGTGATTCTTTCTCAAATGTTTGTTATAAAAATAATACAAAAGTAAAGAAAAAACGAACTATATTTGAATAATTTAGAGGAGAAGTATGTTTAGGTTGTTTGAGGAGCTTTTAGAGGCCTGAACGAAAAATGGGCTTCTCCTATTAAAACTTGTGTCCCTTTTATAATAACCATGGAATTCTTTTTCACTATTGCAACTAATTAAGAGATAAAACTATGTGAAAAAGATATAGTTGGTCTGAGAGGATGTTTGGCTAAAGTTTATTTTTTATAAGTTCTTTTTTTATAACTTATTTTTCAACTTTTAAGTTTATTATGATTTAGATTAAGAAAATAAGTTGAACTCATAAAAAATAAAAATAAGTAAAAAAATGAATATATAAAAAATAAACTCAGAAAATAAGCAATAAATAAGTTTAACTCAGAAAATAAGCAATAAATAAGTTTAACCAAACGCTCCGCTCCCTAAAACACAATAAACTTTTCATCTAGAAAGGATCTCTTTGGCTTCACTCTAGCTTTGACACTAGACAAAAACAGAAAGATAATCAATCAAAGAAAACATGAATTATGAAGTTTTGGATATTAAAATGGGATTTTAACGATATATTTGGTACAAGTTATATATATATATATATATATATATATATATATATATATATATATATATATATATATATATATTAAAAACCGTTGGTTTTTTCCGGTTGGACCAGACAGGTTTAGACCGGTTTTAGGTTAAACCGCCAATTTTTTCCTGTTTAATTTATATGCGGTTTTGAAACCACATACACCTTAGTCTAATATTTTGATTTTTTTTAAAAAAATTTACATATATAAAAAAGGTTATAATAGTAAAAATGAAAAAAATGTAGATTCTCTTGAAGTATATACTGAAATTAATTGCCAAAAATGAAATGCACATACACAAAAAGATAATGTTGAAGTCTCTACTCCTGCAATCATAAAAACATAAAAGACAGATTCACTCAAACTCAAAAACAAAAGCACACAATGTCCAAGCATATACATATACAAACCACACATATATACAATGTCACAGACAAATACATACACACATATATACATATTATATGCATGTATTATTTGAAACAGAAGAATTTTATCATTTCAAATAGAATAAGTTTATCACTTTAGACAGAAGATAGAAGAAAATTATCATTTGAAATAAAAAAAAATCTATCACTTCAAACAGAAGAAGTAAGAAATAAAATGTTATAGACACACTTGAAGTTATAATAGATAGAAGTAAGAGAACCTGAATTTGTGTCAAGAAATGCAATGCAAAGAAGCAGTCTTCCCGATTCCAAATCAATGATCCAATTGTCCCGAAACCCTAACTGTTGAATTGTGCGGTAAGAGTTAGACATGAAGAACACATATATAAATTTATAGGTGGAATAATCTATTATAGAATAGAAAATGATGTATTTTTGGATATTGATAATCATTCCAAAATTAATCAAATTAAAATTTTACTATGAATATTAACATTGACAAATATACTTGAAAATTTAAAATAGGATATAGTAGATGTCAAAATCCATACAAAAAATATTTAAAATCATACAAACTTAACAAATATACTAAAAAATTTTAAAATGAATATAATAACTGTCGAAATCCCTACCAAAAATATTTCAAATCATACGAAACTTAATCATATTATTATTATTATCATAAAAATTGACAAATTGACCAAAAAAAGTCAGCACTGTTATTATTTGCAAAAATAATTATATATTATGTTATAAGACTTTCATATCGTTATAAAGTTTTTTTTTTTTTTTTTTTTTAACTCAGCTAAATTAAAAAAAAAATTCTTAAATTTACCAAAAAATCTAAAACAATCATTTCTTGTATATTTAAGTCATCACCCATAACTAGTCATTCACTAGATAATAATACATATATACAAATACATACATGTATACTTAGTATAAAATAACAATGTAGTTTTTGTGTATTTGAACTTTAATGTTTATGTTTTATTCTTTTTATTCAAAAACACTTAAATACATTCTAATTATACCTTATAATAATTCATTTTATATTTCAATTTATTTAAATATAAAATTTATTGACCAATGTATAATTTTGTAACATTTAACCGGTTAACCATATCGTTAAACATGTTTTGTCACTTTGGTTCGAATATTTGTCAAATTTAGATCCTCCACAACTATTAAGCCCACGTTTTACATAGAACCTAACTTAATTATCAACTAGATAAATGTTGATACAAAAATTAAGTTTGTTGCGTTCAAATGATGTTATGTGCTAATTTTCACGAACCGATGATGGTTCGTAGTCATACATCATAACGAAATTTATCATTAGTTACTTGTTTTATATTTCACAAGAACTTATTTAAATAAAAGAGGTTAAATTCCTTCAACCATTCTTGATAAAATACTCATATTGCTTAATAATCAAAACATAGCATCGTATGATCGTTCCTATTTTTACCAATTGTTACAATCCAGAACCTCCTTGGAGTATGGATGATTTTAGAGGCTCTTGATAGGGCTTCTGGAAGCCTCCAATCAATAAAAGGAAACTAGATAATTACTAATTTGAAATATTATTTAATTTAAGTTCAAATCTAGGGTTTTAGGGATTGTCAGGAAACTATATAAAGGGGTTTAACCTTTTATTTTTGGCCACAGCTTCACCACAAGAGATATCCAAAATTTCTCAAACATATCCCCTCTCTCCTTTAATCCTAGGGTTTATTGAGTTTTAGGTGTGACATATTCGAGGTTACCATACTTTTAGAGCTAGTGTTGCAAGGAGACTACAAAGAGTATTTGATTAGCTTGTTTCAAATCAAGCACAAGGTATATGGTTCTATTCATGAATTAAATTTCATAGGGTTTATAGTTTTATTGATTCAAAGTATGTTGCTATCAATAGTAAAAAGACATAGATCAATTAAAGCTCCAAATCTGCTAAGCCAATCCATTCCTATAATCTCTCATACCCACACATTCCCCATATGGCTGGGAATCGAATCAATCGGGTAAGGCACCCCAAATATATCCAAGATACAACCACGAATGACGCTCGAAGCTGAAACGATGTGTTCGTTGGCGATAAAAACTCGCAATGGAAATTCCAACTCCCAAATAGGCATACAAAAAATCATGTTAAAGGACCGACATACAAATAACTATCTCGCACCCGAGCCAAAAAGCACTAGAACAATCAATGAATTTAGTAAAAAGGTACCTAATAGAAACACAAATAAAAGCACATAAAAAATAACTTGACATAAATATAAATGAATATATCTAGTAACGACTTCAGACACTGCCCTGGTGTCTTCTACATTCAACTTGAAGTCTCGACCTCTGGTCTTCGAGGCCTCATCTCTCTCATGATGACCTTCAAGGATGAGCAAGGTCGTAGGAGTTGGAGTCTACATTGATCTCAAGGCAAGAAATAGGAAATTAGCCCTCATATGGCTCATCTGGTTGTAGTTTAAGTAGATCCCTTCGGATAATCCTTCACAAAATTCCCCTCCTTTCCACACATGTACCACACCGTACCTGCCTAATACAAACCCTCATGAATCTTACCACACTTGCTGTAAGTGTGACTTCTCTGACCTCCTGATCTAGAATTGTCGAGTTTGAACCGCTTAGTCGCCAATTGGTACTGCATTGAAACATTCATCTTCTCTTTCCTCTACGTCTCCATCTCACCCCCTCTCACATTTGTCTCTAACTCAATCTCCCTCTTCCTGACATTTGACTGAACCTTAGCAAATGTATAGTAGTGGGAGTTCTTCATAAGTTCTCTAATATCCTTCTTGAGCATACTCATGTATCGGGTCATCCATACCTTCTCCGAGGAAGCTTACTCTAGGAAGAATATGGATCTATCATGGAACATATTGGTGATATTGGTCATCTAATTTGTCTTCTGTGTAAGCGACATGTACTCCTGAGTAAAACATCTCAAAAAACTACTCCTAATTCAATGTGGCCTGTTTCGTAGGAGAATAGCACTGAGTCATAAACTTCAACCAAATGTTCGCTCCTAAGAGAAGAGGGTTCAACACAAATTGAACCTTCAGATCCTCTAGACATATACATGTGTAAAAACATCCTCCAACATCCAAAATCCATCTCATAGTAGCAATTGTGTCCTTCACCCCATCGAACTTCAGGGGCTTCGTGTTGTTGAATTCATGTTACTGCATTGAATCACTCCCATGTGGTCTTGTAGCAGAATGGTTGTAGTGGCTGTAGTAGCAGCAACCTCAGTGATGACAATTTAGCACTCGTCGAACAACTCAATAAGGGTGGTATTAACAGACCCAAACATCTCTCGGATCGCCTCCCACATCGTCATGACCACCTCAGTAGTAATGATCCTACGGATCTCATCATCAATGGAACTCGATCTCTCTGTATCGCTAGAACCAGAACCGTGGGTAATCATCACAATATTGAAACATGCAAGGAAAAAGGTCTAAACCGGTACATAGCATACACATACACTATACACACTCCTACTAGGTCCTTAGTAGTCTTAGGACTCTTTCGTATTTGACCCAAAATTACTTCCAAGGTTCCAAGTCACTAAGCTACATCACACTAAGTGCATCAAAACACATACCTATAAGCTTCAAAGAGCCACATATAACCCTTAGGTACTCATCCTATGTTTCTCATTGACCATTTTCCTACACTGCTATAAGTCATCACTAATCTCGCCAATTATTCTTCATGTGCCAATCATACATAATCCTTGATCTGATAGACAGTCGAATAGATGATTCCACCCAAAGTCCACAACCAAACATAGAATAGGAAATAAGGCTAAACCAGAAATTTTATGGCTATAAAATCCTAATTATGTACAACTATATAGTATACACATAACAATTAACGATAATAATTTCAGCTCCCAGCACAGCATCACAAGCCATCTCCTAGGCTACACGACATCACAAAAATCAAGCAACTCTATCATGCAATTCCTAAGTGATCCTTAGCTTATCAATTAGCATGCATCTCTGACAACTCATATAACAACAACTCAAATACAACATATAAAACAAGTACGAATATTTTGAGAAATCATTTTTCTCGAGCTCCGATTGATTATACACATCACATCTTCTCTTTCCCTTCATTAAGAATTAATATTTTTCAAAAAGGTTTATGAAAACTCAAAGATCCTTAGTTTGAATCTGATATCACATGAGTGTTCAACCAAATCCCTCAAACTAGGGCTCTAATACCAATTAGTAACGTCCCATTTTCACAACCAAAATTTCTTCATTTTTAAATGAGGTAAAAACATTATTTCCATAAAATCAAGTTAAGAAGGACCATGAGTATCAAAATACAATCATCCCAAAATCAGAGTATCATAATAATATGTAATCATAACAGCTGCCGATGAGTGTGTACAATCAAGTCTTTGTCTTCTAACGATCATCTGAAGTACCTGAAACACATTTAAATCCACAACTGTAAGCACGAAGCTTAGCGAATTCCCTAAAAAATCACATACAACATAACATAATTAACAACCGGTTATCATGGGACTATCAACAGTCTTGATTCCTATAGGATCACAACAGTCTTATGTGTTATTGGAAACCCGATGGGTTATTAGCAGCCAACAACCCTGTGGACAATCAACAATCCTAGAGTTATTATCAACACAATAATGCACATAACAACAACCAACAAACAAGAATCAACTATAATAGCATGCACAGTACTATAACATAGGTAGTATAATGAGATGACTCACCTCGCAAATAGTAGACTAACATACAACTCTCTTGCAGCGAAGACTGGTGCTATGAATCACCTAATCATCAATATAGAAGTACCCTCTCACTCTACACCCTAAAACCCTCAAGTTGACCAAAATTCAACTTCGTCGATAAATCAATGATGAAAGCCAACCCCAGCTGACCCCCACGTCGTGGCCTCCCATAGGCCACGTCGTGGTAGCTACACATTAAGATAGTCATGGTGACACTGTCCACCATGTCCTGAAAAGTAGACTACCAAGTCGTGGGAATTGGTCTCCTACAACTTAATGGATTAAACTATTAACCCTTAACCCATGAGCTACAAATCTCATATATGAACCTTCCTAAGGTCTTGATGGATGAAGTTTCCAACTTTATCCATTAAGACATCCCAATAAGCCAAGGTCTCAAATCTCTAAG